AAACTCTGACAAAGTTTTTATTTTTAAAAGAAGCAAGTATTACATATCTATAAGGCCTTAAAGGAGCATGCCTGCTGCGATAATTATCATATTTCAATGTAAATAAATCTTCCTTATGCGATACTCTTCATAATTTGTACCTTGGTTGCACAGAAAAAACTTGTTGTGTTATTTTTCAACCTTTGACTATCTTTTATGTAGGCTAAAGTGTTAAAATTGCTTCCTTCGAAGTCACCTTCTAAAGCTGGTATTACCGATGTGATAAGTGTTCATGATCGAATAGACACTGGTACTAAAACTTTCAATACAATATCGTATCCATCAACAATCTATCATCAATCAAGAGACATCACTTGTTCACAAAATTCAAAGAAAATTAGCTCAGAACATTTCTTCTTTTCAGTTATTCGTGAGTTTCTTGCTTTATAAATATACTCTATTCTTCACTGCCGTATAGATTATCCGAACATACACTTGAAACAGAGCGTTATCATCATTTAAAGGAGTTAGAGTTTCTTACTGATATGGTGAAAAAATCAACATAATATCTATTACTATGCTTACAAATATTGAACTCTTAGCTACTTATTATGACGAAAGATTTCGTCTCTTTCTGTACTATAAAAAAGATAACTCATCTTTTTTTCTTCAATTATTCTGTATAATTGAGAAAAGGCACCCAATATCAGTAATCCGTTCTGTACAGCATTTCTACACTTATGTATGTAACTATGAACCAATGTTCAACTATTCCACATTTTCATTTGGATCGTCAATGTATTTGTTGCTGATTCTTTCTTCAAATAATATATGAATATATGAATAGCATGATTCTTTCGAACAACTCATGGGAAATCAAAAACAGCAGCAGAGTTGATAAAGAGCATTGATCTACATTTTCAATGACAAGCAAAACGTACATTTGCCGCATTTCATCATCATTCCGTCCAATTACTTCTGCTCATATTTATGATACACCTAAAGTGAAATTTTATCATCGTCATCTGATCTCATTTCTTTATGACCATATTCAATTCGTTTCAACATTATACTTTACAAAAAACCTTATTTCTTAATAATTTTCGGTTTAGTGCTGATCAGTTCACTATGAGTTGACTTTCCAATAATGCTTGTGTTCTCTACAAATCAAAAGAAAATCAGTAGTCGGTTAGATTTATTTTATGTATTGATCATCTGATGGACAAAAAATGAAATTTATTTTCTTTTAAATCAAGTAAAAATTTCTTCTGCTGACGATACACTTAATCTTCGAGAAAAAATGTTTAAATGTAACAATATTATGCAAGGTACAGTCCTTTCTAATACAAACGTTATGATTGATCCATCTCATATCATTCAAAACCCGGCTTTCCAACTAAATGACAGTATGATACAATCAAGATCGAATACATTCATTTTTTTTTCCAATATCCAAACTTCAAAAGAATGCTCATAAGCTATTTTATTCTTGAAAATAAATATTTTACAATCAGATACCTAACTTTTAGTGTATAATTTTAAGATATTTTAAGTAATTTCTTAACTTTACAAATTCTTCGTATCTGACACATCTCAGGATCTCTACAAGTACATCTAATTGCTACAAATGGTAAAAATAGTTTTTTATTGAAGCGTTATATATGAAGGTAAAGGCAAAAGATTGCGTAAAACCAGTCGGTACACTAATAAAAGAACCCATGGATTATAAATAGTTAAACTGCTTCAGTTGTAGATCAAAATACATTTTAATGGCCATTTTCCCATTATCTTTTTGACTGGATAGTTTCATTTGATGATAAGAAAAAAGGCTTGCACTTTGTTTGTTGATAATTGCTTTTTTTACTATAATGTCCATGTCACAGTCACTTAAATTCTGGCTTTTGAAATTTATTTCTGATGAAGGTCAATATTGGTTGATTTGTTGCTCCAATTGAATGTTTTCACAAAGAATCATCAATAAAAACATTCCAGAAATGATGATTTAAATTATAAAAATACATGGCAGATATCTTAGTAATGATCCACCACAGACACGACAGATACATCAACAGCTATCACTGAGCGTGACAGACATATCCGAAAAATGAAAATTCACTGCGGGATCAGCATGATAATTTTCCTTTACATAGTGATTAGTCCTTTCTTTTACAATACTAGTAGCACCGCCGTGTTTCATATATTAACCCCACAGGGGTCGTATTAACAGCTTTTAATATATATGTCTGAATGATTAACAGTACTTTGTCGTCAAGTTTTCACCGACAGCAACATTGCATCCGACTTTAACTGAATCGAATATGACAAAAAGAGAATAAGCATGTATTTTGCTTCTATTGTCAGATATAGGAGAGAGTAGATCAACAATCTGCGATTTTGTAACTTGCGATAGTAACTAGAGCAATAAGGTGGTATAGTGACTTGATTATATAATCTGTAAAAAGAATAGAAAAATCTCAGTTGACATCAGAGTGTCAATTTATGTTTACTTTCCATTTAATTTATGCGTAAATTGAATTGTCAGTAATTAATATTTATATTAAATATGTATTATTCTCACTTAATCTTTTAACAGGCCGTGGTACAAATATATATATCACTTTTTTGTTTTCGATGGCAGAACTATAAGAAACTACGATCAATGGCTCCTGTAGAAAGAAGAATGGTACTATTTAAACGGAATTAATTTCTGGTTGTTCAAGTTCAAGTAACAGATATTATCTGTTTCTTTAGTAGGTGCTTTGAAGAAGGTTATTACTAATTCTCACTTTCAAAAGAGACTCGGTAGGCATGGAGCAAACCAGATGAATAAGTCAACAATACTGGTATCATACGTACGATAGTCCAGTATTGTTGACCTGACCCTCGTACATGATACTGTAGATTATGGTCTATCCGACTGTATCATCAGCATCGAGACAACTTGACCAATGAAATTCGACTGTTAAAGAGTTGATTTATAATTCGCTAAATTATAAATTGAATTATGAATTAAATTAAATTAAATTAAATTATTCTATTGCTTTTTCATATTTCATTCCAGTTAGACAAACAAGAAAAAAACGTGTAAACCGCATTGAAATTTTAGCGAACGCAAAATCGTAAAAAGTGTGCATACAAACGTGTTCATAACGCATCAAATTTTGGGGGTTGGTGAATTTTCAGCACAGAGAATGATTAGCACGAGAAATTTTCAGCACCTAGAAGCGTAGATGTGGCTATAAGCAGGTGTAGGTATGGATGCTTTGTTCACTCTTACTCTCATTCTCATACTCGACATCGAGTGACATGACTCTTTTTAGACGATTTTCATATCACAAAAACTTGGGTTTAGCACGTTCGCATTATTATTCAGAACCCATGAGATGCGTCGAAATAATCTATGTAATAACGTGCATGACAATTTTGGATGAAGAGAAATGATCATTTGATCTTGAAAGATGCTCACTTCAACTTTGACCAACCGTGAGTTCTTCTAAATAGATAGATTCATGCAGAATCTTATAAAGAATTTCATAATGTTAAGAGAAGTAATCTTTATAAGTTTATTTTTTCATTTCGTGGAATTCACATATATTTTTCAAACGATAAAAGCGGGTATAAGTTGTAAAGAGCGATCCTCCTCAACATATCCTCAAATTTTGCCAATTTGTAGAGAAGATCTTCAGAGGCTTGGAATTGCAATAACTCGCGGGTTGAATCCGCTTGAGTGAAGTTCCACAGCTGTCAAAATTTGAACAGTCAATTTTTCCAGCTAATTTCATGTCAGTAAAAGAGGTCATCCTTACCAAATCTCCTACTCTTAGGATGCCTTCCAGAAAACCTCGTTCATAAAAACTTGTTTACTAGACCCGCCTCTATTGGACGGCATATTTTTCTTTTAGAAAAAATATTGTTTTCCTCAAGTTGAAGGCTTCAATATGTGTCTAAAGCTAAACTTCATTATCCAATGAAAAATAGAGGTTTTGTGAAACGTTAAATTATATGCTTTCACTTCATTGATTTTGAATGAAACTTCGTGTATATAAGTGTCCATCCATCAGGTATGTTATCTCCAACCCACAAGTTAATTGGACGTTATGTTGAAGAAATATAAAAAAAATTATTCAGTGTCGTAATTTTGACATAAATTTGAGCATACAAATTAGCTAAATTATATAATAAAAACTTGTTTTTCTTTAGAAAGTTAAGACATCCTTTTGTGATCAACAGTACATATAAGTAGGACCTGTACGCTGTTGACAGCGTTAAAGTTAAACGGATAGGATGTGGATCTTGGTGTGAGTGTTTGAGTATGAGTGTCGATGAGGAAAAGCATCACTAAGAAGCAGACTCACACCCTCATATCAGACAACGCCCCCACATCTCACATCTATTCCCGCACCCTAATTATTTTTGTCATCTAGTTTTATATTAGATTAAATTGCTATTGACGGCTCATTCTCATTTAATTAGCTCAACATTTGACGCTGATTTTTCTTGGTGCTGGACACTATCGTGCTGAAATTTCCCGTTCTACAATTTCTATTTCTCAGATTTTCGAACTGATATGTATTTGTTAGGAAACTTTAGCGCTTTGTGAACGTAAAAATGTATACTTTTTACAGTTTCATTTTCGTTGAAACTTCAATGTGCTTTTACGCGTTTTTCCCTTGTCCTTCTGATTGGGATGAAATATGAAAAAGAAATAGAAGTATTTTATTTAATTAATAATATAATAAATTATAAATTAAGTACAAATAATTCATATTTAAAAGATATTAAATTTCTTATAATTGATATTCATTTTTAAATATAAATTATGAGGAAAAAATTTATGTTTAAAAATAAATATAAATTATTAGAATTTATTTTAAATTAACAGAAAACCGACACCCCTAGTTGAAATGTATTGTAGAACAGACTATGTTAAATCATTTTCATGATTATTATTATTCATATTATTGATAAAAATGCTCTGAAAACAAGCTATAGGTTCCATTAACTAGACAATACAACAATGATCATGAAACAATAGCTCTTGCTGATAATTGTGGACCAACTGCATGATGTGATAATGGCAATAGTTGAGGACCAACTGTTGGTGTTTTTCGTCGGTAATATAAAAATATTTTGTTAATGTGTTTTCTAAGTTCAGGCATTGATACAGCACATATAAAAGGTAATAAAAGATTGCCATAATTTTCAAAGAATTCTGCATATAACATAAAATCAGCACCAACTTCTTCAGGAGTTCCACAAAGATGAACGAATTCTAATAACATACTTGGTATGTATATGAAAAGATACAGAACTGAAATTGCTAATACTTGAATTGTCATCTTTCGATGATTTCGCCAGCGAATTGGTCGATTCATTCGAAATTTTTTATGGAGGACACGTAAAAGAAGAGCAATGCTGAAGCAAATAATAACTATTGTAGGTATTATATCATTAACTATAACGTCCCACATCGCTGCTGATAAAAATTCATAATAACAAAGAGGATTACCACATGCAAGTTGAGAATAATCGTATGTATTTTCACATGGTGGAAAAATAATTATAATAATATTGTAACTGATGCAATAGAGAAGAATTATGGCTATTGGTACATAATGAAAGAAAATAAGTTTGTATTTTGTTGAAAATAAGTGATCATGAAAAATGAGCATATGTCGTTCTATAGTTGCCCATGCAAATAAAATTGTTGTTATAATATATAAAGCTTCATCAATAAAAGCCCACGTAAGACAAAAGAAAGAGTTTTGTGGCCAAACATTTCCTGTACGATAATAATTAAGAGTCCATGGAATACTTGTTAGTTGAACAATAAAATTGATGAAAAGAAGAAGACCAATAACATGATTATGCAAAGCTTGACGTAATGTTCGATGGACAATAAAATTATACAAAATGAACAATGAACACATAACCGATGGAATGTATACGAGAAGAATAATCCAAAAGCGAATTAGACGAGGAATGACGATTTCAGAAGGTAATACCGTTGTATCCTCGCTAGAACTGTTGATATCACTTAGCATTTTTTTTCTATAAATATTCAATCACAATGGAGAAGAAAAATGCATCCAAACTGTGTGTCACATACAGATGAAAAGAAAAAAGTGCTATTGACAAGTAATACTTATTTTTTTTCCTTTTTCTCTCCTTATCATATGTTCGTTATTTTCTTGTTCAAGGTAGAAGGTTCGATAGATTTTTTATGAACCTGCGATTCATTTTATGCAAGAATAAACTTTCTGAATCAGTTGTTAATATATATTCAATATACAAAATAAGAATATTATTGTCATTATAAAGATAATATCAAGAAACAGCATCACCGTAGACGCTCGTAGTCATGTTTTTGTCAGGTATGGATTCATTAAATATCGGTTTCATAGAGAAAAGCACTACGCAATAGGTGGTCCGGAAAAAATAAAAGATATCAAAAATGTTGATTATCTATGATTATATAATAAGTATATGTCGTTTCATTCAAGACATGAATGACAGATATAATGTCAAGATTTTTAAACAAATGAGGATTCTTCACTTGAAATAAAAAGAAATTAAGTATATATATAATTTTTTCTTTCAATTCTTTCAATGTATCAGACAGTAAGCCATGCAATTATAATATATATTCATAAATATCTAAAGGTGAAATTATGCGTATATTTCCATATTTTTTCTTGACACAGTTAATTATGGTTGAGTATAGTTTCTTTGGATTATCAAAACAGAGATGTATGACTTTTTTTTCAACATATGATCATGGTTGTTATAAATCCAGGAAATGTATTTGAACCGAATATAAACTAAGTAGGAAGTACCAAGATGATGAAGAAGGGACAACACACACACATTCGAAAAGATACATAGGCATATATAGTTCTAAGTGGGTCAAGACTCCTGAGTCAAGTATCCCATGCTCATGACTCAAGGAATCCTGACTCAAAAGAGTAAACAAACATACCAAAGATGACGTATCATGGCTGAAGGCCATGACAATGGTCAATAATATCTAAAACCATTGTTAAATGAAAAATATATTACATAAACTCTTGAATAGGAGCTAACTTATAATTTATTTTCTTAGTCAATAAGCTGTGCAAAACGAGTATGGTTTCTTTTCAAATTGATAGTCAGATGAATACAGTAAAAAAAAATTCGATGTCATTTGTAACTTTTTTCGTGAAGTTTTACGATTGTTTAATTATCTTTAAAAAATATACATTGTATATATACATATGATCAAATCAGAAGTAAAAGGCTTTTCAGTACAGTCTCTAAAGTTATAACATATTACACTTATATATGCTATATAAACTACGAAATAATTTAGCAAACATATATATTATCTAATAAAACATGATTAATTCGGCGACTGAAAAAAAATAATGTATTTAATGATAATTAAATGTTCTCGTCTTTTTCTTTTGAATAGTGGCCAAAATAGGAATCGTTTTTACGACACGCCTATCCGTAACTATAGAGAGCTGTGATGGGAAGAAGGGAATAGAAGGCGAAAAACGTCGATATAAAATTGCACTCGCATTACAATATATGGGTTCTACAGAAATCATATCGTTGATTTCGATTAGATACAAAGTAAGATGTGAAACTTTATTCAGAAGTATGTTGTTCATTTGATATTAGTCATACAAAAATACTTACAGAAGACTGAAGTCACTCGCCATTTCTTGATAACGAAGATGATGACATCAAATCAAATATTCAGCTTCATCTATGGGATGACTCGGACCGGAATCCTAAGTCAGTTAGTGTCTGAGTTTCTGTTTGGAAATTATCCATAGATCTATTATAGCCAACTCTGAAATCCTTTATTTTGACTTACTTCCTACTTTCTTTTATTAATTAATTGAAAATATAACTCAATCAAGATCGAACCCGATTCCCGAGCGTTCGTAAGAAAAAAATTAATTAATTTTTTCCTCTATTCGACGTTCTCTGCAGTTCTTTCCTCATAAATATATATGAAGCAAAACAGGATGCTTTGTCAGATTCAATGAAATACAAATCAATACCATTGAATTCATTTCTTCTAACATTATCATTTCTATGTCCAGTTACATGCTGAACAAGAGATTAATAAGTAACATCATCTTCAATTAACCATAGATCTTTACATGAACTAGGATCTAATATAAGATCATTCAATATAATTTGAACTTGTTCTAATGGAACAAAAGATGATTGAGAGAGATGAAGAAGTATTTTAGCTGTAACATATCGAATATTGATTAATTTTGATTTCAAATAAGATAACAAAACATTTAAAACAACTTAGTCATCTTTAATAAGAATGAACATTTCACGTAAGTCGATTGTTAACTCACATAACAACGATAGGATTGCTCAGCAAGCATCACACTGTGGAAAATGATGTTGTTTACTCGTATAAAACAATATGCGTTTCAAATTATCTCTATCGCGTCAATCTTTGATAACAACATAAAGTACCCAGTCAGACATGCGTTGAGAAAAACGGCGTTTTTACGCGTAAAAAGCGCACATTTTTACGTTTTACGAAATTAGTCATTTTTTGGAAAAATGAAGGAAGCTGGTGAATGTCAACGTTGTAAAAACCTTTCTTTGTCGAAAAATAAACGTTTTTTTTTTCGTAAAAATGTGCGCTTTTTATGCGTAAAAACGACGTTTTTTTCAGTGCTTGTCTGACTGGGTACTGTCGGTATTCATGCAGCGATTCAATTAGTGACATTTACGTATTGAGGATATCCGTAAGCTAAATCAAAATCTATTTTTTCAATTGATAATAATTTAGTAATAAAATGGCGAATGCTATTGTATAATTCAGCGGGTGTCGGTGTGTGACTGTTGGTGTGAGTGTTCCTGCATCTAATTATTCATAATTAAGGTTTTTAAAACCATAAAAGCAGAAAAATATTTTCTTTATGGAAATCGTACGAATAATTTTTGCGTAAAAAAATGCATGATTTTTTAAAGAGTGATCTCTCGTTTAATATAGGTTCACTCTGTAAAGCTAAATTTTATAGTATGAATACTAGATGACGTGATGATTCTTTTCATCACCACTAAAATTTAAAAACTCCATGTTTTGATTACCTTTAATCAAAAACGAAATCGTACTAATAATTTTTCGCGGCCACTGTATATATATCGCTATATTGGTTGAAAAATACAGAGTTACATAAGAGTTTCTGCTCGATCTTAAAACATCCATGTTCAGTTTTGAACTAGCCCGAACATCATTTTGGTTCAATAATCAGAAGAAAATTTCAACTGTTTGACGGATATGATCATTATCACTGCATGAAAGATCACACACAATTGTTATAGCTTCCACAGACCATAAATCAGAATTAATTAGTAGAAGTACAGTATGATAGGCAAAAGAAGAGAATTCATTTGAATCTTTTCATTCTTGCCACGATTCTAACAAACAAAATGTTCTAAATTCTACCCAATTCATACGATGAAGAGGATTGTTTAAAATAAACCAAATCTTCTCGAACTGTTTCGATTGATCTATCATCGAAGCAAAAGAAAGAATACTAGCTATTGTTAATGCTTGTACTTCTGTCCATTTATGAAAATCATTGACTGATTCTATAAGATACAAATTAGAAAAGAATAATGAAAACGGTAAATATTCATGTATAACATTTCGTAATAGAGGAAAAAGCACAATTCAATTCCGTGTATAGTAACAATGTTTCAATGACTACTTATTCATCTCGTCAATCTGTATCTACTTTAATTCGATCATAGTTGGAATATGAGTAATCTGAATTGACATAGCTCCATGGATACCTTTTTCTAATAAAAATAATTTTCTTTCATCTTCAGCCCAACGACAAAGATGTGCCAAAGAGATTGATACAGAACAAAGTTTCATCTTTCTTTGATCATTTTCAATTGAAGTATTTTGAAGCCTTTCATATTCTTGTTGAATATTATCTCTAATTATTGTTTAACGCTCTTCATCTGTTAGATATGATCCTTGAAAAAGATCTTTATCTGTATTCGTATACTGGCCAGTTTTATGATTCATTAAATACTTTCTTTTTCTCTCGTAAGTGTCCTAAGCATAGAAGTATTTTAAAGCTAATATTCACAAAAGACTACTTCCAAAGTTTTCTAATTGCTGCATTCGAAACCAAGGTAGCAAAGTGATTGAGACAACGAGAATAGATAGTCTCTTCTACGATGCATTTGATAAAAGTATTAAACATTCAGTTAAAATATGACCAAAATAAAGATGTTGTCTGTTATTCGCTATCGAATCTCTTGGATTGATCGTAATAAATTTTTCTTTTATTAATCGAATATAAAGATTCTGTATATGTGAGGGAACACATGTTAATGAGGCGTAAAGCATTTTCATCATTGCGAAATAGTAGACATTGTATCTCGCACTCATCATTGTGATCTATTGTTCAGAAAAAAGTCGGATGAAATGATAAATTAATAAGCAAGATTTTCAATCAGAATAAGATAGTGTATCTATCGTTAGGTGGCTACTAAGAAACTGATTCTCTTTTCGAAGAGAATTAGGCAGACAAAGTGTTACTCATTTATCAGGTCTTGATACTCCTTCCAACAAAATGAATGTTGAATAAAATCGCAAATGAGTTACACTACTCCTTAGTGAAATAAATAAATCGAGAACATGAATTCTTGCTGATGCAACATATTGAAATTTGTCAATACTAGTTGAAATATATTTTTAGTGTTTCATTTGCTACGAATTGATCATTTTCATTAGCGGCAAAATAGTACTGATATAAAATCATTGAAATGTATTTTAATCTATTCATACTCATACGTAAAAGAGAATTGGAAATAATATCTAAATTTTCTTATATATATTTAATGTTATAAAAGCAGATAAATGGGTAGTGTGGGTCTGATTGGTTGTGTTGATCTTCTCTTCGTCTACACTGTCACCTACATCCACAACTTTACGGCCGGTTCTATCGTAAAAAATCTGACCAATACACCAACAACTCCTTGCACCGCGTCGTAATCAACATCATGAACTCGATCAATAAAGACAATTATGAAAAAATTTACGATAAATAGTTGTATATATCGTCGTCGTCATCAATGTTTGCTGCTTTTTTTCTTTTATTCGGATCGGTTATCAATGAAAAATACAAGAAATTCTCGTTTTTCTTTCTTGTTGCTTGAGTGCAAATGTTTAAATCTATACTTATCGAGATGGTATTTTTCGCCTCCTGCACAGAAAAGAGTAAATTCACTAATGCCATAGTGAGGAGAGATGTTGCATTTGTTGTCTTTCTATCTTGATAGTAACTTTTTACTTTAATTGCTTACGAAGAAAAACAACTAATGGTCACACATTGTTCGACTTCGTACTTTAGGCACGAATATGTTTTGATGAGGCTAAATATAAGCGTTCACGCTCACAAGGAGTGACAAACACAGTTAAAAAAGTGCGTGTTTTCTTCTCTGTTTGTTTATTCTTTGAACAAGTGTTTATCTATGAATATGAAAAGCCAAAATAGAAAAAAATACAAACGTTTATCAAGATCAAAGAAAAGAAATAATAGCAATGAAATAATGATGTCAAAAATATCAGACGAACAAAGGAATGATCAAAGAAAAGATAATTAAGAGGACCGAGGTATATGTTATCAGAATGCAATGCAACATACTCCTATATTGAACAAACAAAATATTCTATCAATATTTTTGGAAAAAGACAAAAATAACAATAAAATAGATAAAGAGAAAAATGAGTAATATCAGAAACGGTAAAAGGTAACAGAGTGTGGATGGAAAGACGAAGATAACTCACACTCAAAAATATTCACACCCAAAGCACGAAGTCAAACGATGTGCTACCATTGATTGTTTTTCTTCGTAAGCAACTAAAGTAATAAGTTACTACCCAAATGGAAAAAAAAATGCTATATCCCTGCTCGTTATCACGTCTACGAAGTTACTCTGTTGTATGCATGACGTGAAAAACATCATGCTGATAAGTACGGCGTTTTCAAATTAAGTGTCAAGACGACAAGCCAAATGAAGTTAATGACTACCCGTGTGCAAAAGTTGATGTTACGGAATGATTGATGTACAATTTACCACTGAAGTGGAACGTTGCCAGATATAGATTTTCCAAAACTTGCATCCAAATTTTGATACACTGAGAAGCAAAACAAAGATCATGTTGATTATTAAGACATTGCCTACTCTTGCATTGATTGAACTGTCATCACTCGTTTTTTATAATGTATATTGCAAAATGTCTCTTGAGAATATATCCTGCGTCTGAATTTTGAACAGATTTCCTTGGACATTCAATTGTTATGTATTTTGAAATCTGTTTTGAGACACAATCAGCTGAAATAAAATGTAGTATTCCCCATCTTTTATGACTTATATTTCTGTAAGAACAAGAGCAAATACTCTAGAATCTTCATCACAGATATGCTATTATCAATGCAATGATAAGTGTAACTACCTTTAGTTAACGTTTAAGAATAATTGTTGTCGAAGAAGAATGTTTGTCTGTATACATTAGTTATGAATCTGAATAAAAGCTAGAGGTGAAGTGAGAATGCAAAGATCCTGTGGTTTTCTTATGATTACGACATCAATTTCTCTCAGCATAAAAAACGAAAAATGTTGTTGTGCACATGGATCATTTTGCTACTTCATATACGATCAATGCAGAACTTATGTAACCTCACGTAGTGAAAACATAAAGCATCTAAAATTCTTTATTTTTCTATGTTAACCAAAAATGCGTGCCTCACATTTCATATTGACTAGAAGTTTTCTTCTTTTTATGAGATCTACCTGTGAATTATGATGTTTGCACAAGATAAGAGTGCAATATCAGAGAAATCCTCGAAAAGAGCAGCGCACTTTGGTTTTCGCTACTTCACAAACGCTACTTTTCGTACAAGTATCATGATAGTCAATCGTCTAATATTGCTTTGTTTGATAACATTTGTTCCTCGATCGTTTGGTTTACATGCATTGATGTTTACTGGCGGTGCAGCTGGTCATGTTATTCCGATGTTTGAATTAGTAAAAGGAATGTAAAATCATAATGTTACATTTATTACTGAACGATTGGCCGAATCTTATATTGATTTTCAAACCTATCCTAATTTATCTTCATTTCGTCTTATTTATACAAATTATTCAATTGATGCATTAGCTGATCAAAAGAAAACAGCCAGAGAAATAGTTGAACATTTCTTTAATCATTCTCTGTTGGATAGTCTAACTCATATTATACCAGAACTAATTGAGAGTATGAATTTGCTACTAAATAAGACAGTCCATAGATTGATGATAGAACGATTTGATATGATCATTGAAAGTCGATTGGTTTTTGATATAAATGCCTTATGCAAGGAAGCAAATATCAGTTGTGTGACACTTACTTCAACAATAATGTCGAGTGTGATTAATTTTAATCAACCTAACAGTCATTCATTTCTAACATTAAAGCAAATGTCGGAATTCAAATACCGTATCTATAATGTTGCTTTAAGTATACGTTTGCTTTTATCCGTCTCGAAAACAATCATTTCATTAATCAACACAATGTCAAACTCTACCAGGACCATTTTATGACACTTTTACATTCAGAAATATTTTTTGAACAAAATCGAATTGTCTAAATTTGATCAATGTTCCGCCAACATTCTATTCACAATTCTATTCGCATCATTATACCAAATATATTGGCGTATTCGTAGATGAATCGTCCATCACTGATATTGACAATGAACTTGCAAGATGGATTAAATCAAAGTCGAATAATTCTATTATCTATGTAGCTTTTGGTAGTAGTGCATTAGTGCGACTCAATCGAATGAAAAGTTTGAGCTATGGTCTAGCTGAATTTCTTTTTCATACACCTACTGCTTCTGTTTTATTAGCATTTCGTAATTTTAATTATGATAATTATCGCCTTGCACTGAATGAGATGATGCATGATGAATGTAAACGTATTTTCTTAAACGATCAATGTGTTAAAGTCGAAAATCAATTTATTGATCAAAAATGGATATTACAACAGCATAGAGTTAGTCTATTCATTAGTCATTGTGGTATGGGCTCAATTGCAGAAGGACTTTATTTTCAAAAACCAATCTTATGTTTACTTTTATGCAATGATCAGCTCCCAAATGCCATCATGATTAATCAATCGGGAGTTGGACAATCATTCTTTGTTCCACCATCTCTATGGGAATTATTTTTGAAACCGACTAGTGTCACAATGAAATTATCGGCAATGTGGAGAAATAGTAGATACGAGAAAGCAGCTCGAGTCATGTCAATTGAAATAAAACATGCAGGTGGTGTGAAAAGAGCTGTAGAAGAAATTGAATTTTTAGTTAGTTTAAATGGTGATCTAGATCGATATGCACCATTTCAGAGTACATTACCGTTCTATCAACGATATCTATTTGGTATAGTCTTTATTTATATTATTTTACCTATAATAATTATGCTCTATCTGTTTATAAAATGTTGTAAACGAACTCGAAAACAAATGACTGATTAATTAATAAAGTTCCCAAAACATCAAATACGTGCTCCTTTTCGGTAGACATTATATTATGTATAATAAGCTAAAATATTTTGACCAATACTTTGTCTAAGTAGAGGATGTGGGTGTTGTCTTTACTAAAGCTTACACCCACACCCTCAAGGTGAAATATGTGACTAACAATGCGCCAAAGTATATGCCAATTATATTTATTGATTGTTACCTGTTGTAGAATATTTTTGATGGATCACTGAATTTAAATTTAAATTTTGTCTGATTGTAATTAGGTATGCGCACCTGTTCCAGTTTTAAACTGGTCATTCATTTATATTTTTCCCTTCTGTAAATTGACCTAAATAATGGAAACTACTGATGTATTGAATTTGATTGAGACTGTCTTGACTACATATGATAGTTCTGCAATATAGAAACAATTCATTTAGAAAATCCAAAGATCATAAAACCAGAATGTCTAACCTTTATTACAAATATTTGATCAGATTCATAATCCATTAAAAAATGTATTCCACTTTTGAATGGGAAAGTGATCAGTCTTTTTGGATACGATGGTTTTCTACTTTGAATATAATACTCGATCAAATAGAAGATATAATGACAAAAAATATTGAGAACGATTAAAAAATCCACCGAAAACAACCAACATAATGAAATTAAGAATGTCAGCGACAATTGGCTCGGGTGTGGGCGAGAGTATCGATTGGGAAAAGATTCACACGCTGAACATGAAATGATCAATTGCATATGATTTAGTGACATTGTTCATATTTCATATGAAATAAACTAAGTGGTAAAAAAGATTCGATTCTGATCTCGAATTCGAAAAATTTCAGCTTTTTGTTCCGATCTCACTAGCTACTACCACTTAGTCAAGTGCCGTAAACAAAAAAATATCGATGAAACCCGAAGGCGAAAACCATCATCATCAACACAGAAATATTTAGTGTATCTTGTCGTTAACTGACGACAGCGCATTCGCTTTTTTTATGATTAGTCAGTTAGGTGGCCATTCTCTTTCGTGACTCATATATGTATGAAATTAACCTCCTGATACTTCTCAGCCAGAGAGATATATCGAATTTTGACGTTTTTTGTGTCTTTTTTCGGTTAGTTAAAAGAAACGTACAATAAGTCATATTTTTTGTTGAATTTTTTCTACTTTTCCTTTTTTTCCTTCTTTTTTATTCATTTCTCTGTCCAATTTCGCCATATTTACGCAGAAAAGTAGTTAAAATGTTATTTCAACTAAAAAACGACTATTGAGTATCAAAAGGTTGACTTTTTGAGCGTCTATTGATTCAAAAATTTTTAATCAAATTTGTTTCATGTCTAATTAGAGTTCGTGTATCTTTGAAAAATCACTCTGGCTGGCTATTCACTTTATCAGCTGTCTGTTGTATACATTTTTAAAAAAAATGTAATTCAGATTATAATGACGGGTTAGTGAACGAGAAAAACAAAGATAAAGTCTATCTACTATAGATAAATACTACACTAGTACTTTATATCAACAAATAGGTACAAGAATTTATCGTGAAAAACATTGTAGTATAATTAAACAGTTATCTACTTTTGGACATATTTGATCAAAATATATAAAAAATATATTTAGACAGGTATTGAATTCGAAAGTTACTTGTTATGAAAATGATTACGCTCCGATCTGTTGAGTAACTTTCTATGAGTAATATACATCAGTCGATGAACATTTCATTTCTGAAATAAAAATGACTATTATGGATAATTTTGACAAGCATTTTCACAAAAGTATCTGTACAAAACTTGTGAAACTAGTTCCGGTAACTTCATAATAATTAGCAGCGACACCAGGATTTTTGGTCAGAGAGGGGTTTGTGTCTTCTTACAGGCAGTCAATTTGTAGCAATCGAAAATAGATACATCTGATATAACATGTTTATTTTTTTCTCATCGAATAGTCAATTCGTAACAATAAGGACATGCATATATCTTTTTAATGTAGGTTCATGTTTCTTCATTCAGTATTCTTCTTTATTTTTGAGGACAGAGGGACATCTTTTTATTGGCCTGTCAATATTTAATAATAGCAGGACGAAGTGTTTTTTATTACAGATCATATGTATTTATTATGAAGCTAGTTTGTAACCATAGAAGACATGTCGATTGTTTAAAAAATTTAATTCTTTTTAATATAAAGCAAAGATTTATTGCTTAATAAAATTCTTTTTTTTTCTGATAATCAATTAATAAGAATGGAAAAAAAAACATACCTCTTATTAAAATATATTCACTAAGTTTTTTCTCCAAGTAATAATAACTCACGTTAGATAGATATCTTGTATTAAATATATATGAATTTTTTTCTTCCAGGAAGTAGTCAGATCATAGCGGTAGAAGGATGAATATCTATTGTCTAGTACAACTTTAGTTTATTTTTATCTCATTTTCAGTTATAAAGGTAGAAATATATTTAAATAGTACTAAAGTCTGTATTCTTTATTTTTCAATTAGTTGTTCGTTCATAGGGTAAAGACATATATTCCTTATCTGATATAAATTAGTGAGATGATAATAAATTTTCAGTTATTCATGAGTCTAAAATCGTTTTTTTTTATTAACTGGTTTTCTTAATGTTCACTCGAGAATTAGTATAGTAAGCTATACATTGGATCTAATAATAATATTTCTACTAGATAATTATTGCCTTTTTGCTCCAGCTGCACAACGATGCGTTTTAGTCAGTATAATCTCTGGTTAGTTTTCCAGAAAATCACGTTGCGCATTCTCTCGTACAGAAATAAGAAGAGAGCATCTTTATGCGTCTAGAGAAAAATATCAAAGTAAAACATGTTATACACACAATGTGCACATTTGGACAGCATTAAATTTTCTCAATTTTTGTGGAAAAAAGTTGACCGTTTTTGAACATTGAAAATTTTGATGCCAAAAATCTGTACAAAAAAAAGTGGCATGCCTATTCTGACTAGGTTTGAGTGTATTTGGACGGGAAATGGCAAAAATACGATTCTTAATGTTTGATTGTAAAAAGGAAAAAAATTGACTTTTTGTCAAATCAACTCCGGCAACGTTTTCGACATTCGAGGGAGGTAAAAAATGTCGTCAAGATAATTAGCGTCTGTGATTACTTATGTTCTATACGTTTCTGACCCTTCCAAGCGTGTTGAGATCGAAACATGAGTGTCTAATGCGAAGTTATTCAAGATACAATAGTCCATCCTATTTTGAATTTGACAGTAGAAGTGAATGTTCTAGTTCCGAACATTTTTTCGGTGACTCTCTTTGACTAAGATGGATTTTTTCCTGAAATAAGAGAGAACAAAAATGTTTTATATCAGTTTCCTTCTCACTCTATAAACAAAAAGAATGAGTGATCATTTGTTTTTGTTAAAACAACATTCGAGACTGAATGGAATTGATGGAAACAAAAAAAGTTGATACCACAGGATTTCAATTACAACAGCTAGATCCATCTTCATACTGGAATTTTGTAAATCTGTATTTAGTTTGGGAACCTAGACTTCCGCGTAGCTAACAGGTAGAACAATGATTTTTATGGTACACGAAGTTGTCCGGTGCAGTTTGTTTCGAAGTTCTAGATCAGTTTCATTTCAGGCTACGGAACACATTTTCTCTTAATACGTTTGATGCAAGGTAGAATAATCAGTTACATATCTCTCAACTTCAGATAAAATATGTTCTCGATCAAACTATTATCTCGATCAACTTCGACCAGTATTTTGAGAATTGATTTTCGTGCTTTACTTACTGTAAGGAATTACTCAAAATCTGTTCTGCCAACGTCAGAATCACACCACGTACTGAAAGTTCCACCTGCACAATTAGAAACTTCTAAAGAAAATCTATTAGACAAGTTTCTAATTGGCTACGCACTACAGAATCAATCAACAACATCTTTCACGACTCTTCTCGAACAACTCAATACAATGCAAATTTACGACTACCGTATATTCTTCCTTATGAAAACGTTGGACGAATGAATGTCACTTCTGAATCAGATCTCACTCGAGGCATTGTTACCATCGCTCACGTCTTACCGTTAAAAGATAAAGTAATTCTAGCAAGTGGCTTTGCAGTGCTCACTGGACAACTTATTGTGACATGTGCACATACATTTTATCAGGCTGCTCAACACCTTTCTTCTTCAGAACTTGATCAGAAGTCACAGTCGATAGCGATCACTCACGAAGGAGATTTGATACCAGTTGCTACCGTTGAATCACATCTAATCCTGTCGGATCTAGTGTTACTCAGACTGCAAGCGGGACGAAAGATCACATCTTTAGCAGTTGATCCATATCCGGCACCGATCTCCACATCACTACTATCATACGACTTAGTAACAGCGTCTCTCTCGTCTACTTCTCTTCCTACTATTTCATATTCATGGAAACCAGCCAATGTGTTATTTTACAAAAATCGATGCGGTCAAAAATCAGCGACAGGAACGTATGATGAACTGCATTCTATGATGTACTCACATCCACCTTCAAATGGATCGAGTGGCGGACCAATCGTGAACAAAGAAACCAAAAGTGTTGTTGGAATTGTTAGAGGAAGTGAAATGAGCTATGCTAATCGAAAACTTATTGGTTTTGCTACGCCTAGTGAATGTTTGTTTGAGGCTTTCAAGTTGCCTGGAATGCCTGATGGATTGGAATAGATGAAGTTGGCGGAATTACACAGGAAGGACTATCTTCCGTCTTACGACTTAGTGTATTTTTAGAGTCGAGGCCGAGAAAAAATATGACTAATGTCTCTATTCGATTCGATTCGATTCGACTGAACTAGATAGTCGGTACCCAAACTCGAGTCAATGACTTGAGTTTAATATAATACCATTTGTTTTTTTATTTTGAAAAAGTTTTGTTTGCATGTTCGTTCATCTGCCGTAACTGAATAAATCGTTTCTTTTCATCAGCCACATTATACAAAACGTTGAGTAAATGAGCAATAAAAATCTTTTTCGTTTCTCCCCT